TCCTCTGTTTTGTGTTTCATTGTTCTTTCTAAATTATGCCGCCGTGTGAAATTTGAGGCTTTTGAAAACGTGTATCAGGGCCTCTCAAAGTCTTCTCTGTTTAAAACAGAGGAAATTCAGTATCTTCAGCCTGTCAGTGTACAGTGTAGGACGTTCCTTGAATCCCCAGAATGTCTCTGGTAGTTCTCCTTGGACAAATTCCAGAGCAACAATATCTGTTCTTCGAAATGGTGATGAAAACGGTACATTATCATCCTGTGCGCGCAGGGTGTGCCTTTAAGTCTCGTTATGAATCTTGTTTTATCTGGACTGATTCCAGAAGTATCTTCTCGATAATGCTGTGACCACAAGCTTTGAAGTGGTATTCTTAATGAGGTCTGATGATTGCATTGTAAACTTTTAACAAAGCATCTCTTGACGATGTAGACGTCATTTTTTTAACTCTGTATCCCAGCATTTTGTTTGCCTTTTCAATTGCTTCCCTGTATTGTCCACAAGATGAAAATGAAGTGCCACCATTAACACCTCTGTGTGCTTCATATGGGCTTCCTGTTTTGTATTTGTACTTCATTTTTGCAACCTGGATATAACATTCATCCATATATTTCCTAACCTCTTTATCCAATTCAGGGTAGCAGGGGATCTGGATTGCTGGCAAGCAATGTGCACAAGAACGGGTCCACAGAACATCAGTCCATCACAGGGCACACAGACACACGCTCACACCAGGGCCAGTTTTCCCAGAAGCCAATTAAACTGCCAGTATGTCATTGGACTGTAAGAGGAAACCCACACTGAGAGAATATACAAACTCCTCATAGATAGCGCCCCAGGTCAGTTGACCCCAGGACCCCCGAGCTACAAGGCAGCGATGTCACCCCTGTGCATGAACAGCACTTGTCTGCAAGTAGATGGACACGTCTGCCAGCTGTTTTATCCAGTCTCGGATTCGACCTTAATCGTTCAGTTTCCTTTGCTGCTTATACAGCGTTTGCTAATCCTTCTGCTTTGGCATCATCTGCAGACGAGCAGATTCTTCTGTGATTTCATCTTGTAGCATTCACCCTCTCTTTGGCACAGCCCTTGGCAGCCCTAGCTCCTGCACTTTGGTTCCTAATCCTAAAGCCCACTGTCTTGGTGACGTCCATCCCACCTGCCAGTGTGGCTCGTGACTCCCTCTTCTCCACCATCTTCTGTCCTACCCTTCCGTCAACGTCAGGTGTCCCACCCACTGTGGCTTCAGCCCAGCAATGTCTCCAGCCCTGCTCTGCTGGGGTCCCACCTGACACGTGTCAGCTCCTGACTCCTCAACCCCCTTTTCTGCTCTTTCTGCAGTGTCAGGTGTCCCACCCACTGTGCCTTCAGCCCATCAATGTCTCCTGTATTCTTGTCTGTTTCCCTTCCCTGCTGGCATCCCACCTGCCACAGAGTGGGATCCCGCCTCTTCAACCCTTTCCCCATTCCCCCCCCATTCCATCCTCCCTCAACACCAGGTGTCCAACTTACTGTGCCTCTGGTCCCAGCAATGTCTCCAGCCCTGCTCTGCTGGTGTCCCACCTGGCACGTGTCGGCCCCTGACTGCCCCCATCTCACTTTGTGCCCCTTTCCTTAAGAATTTCATGACTTTCATGCACGTCACTCTGGGTTTGCCTGTATGTTTGGGAGGTTTGGGATTGCACTACTTAGAGCACAATCCGTTGTTTTGTTTGTTGAAGCTGCAGCT